TTTGTCTCTTGTACTTTGGTCATGTTGTCAGAAGTGACCAAACCCTGGAGAAGTGTATCATGCTTGCTGACACAGAGGATCAGTGATAAAGGGGAAAACTCCCAACAAGATGGATTGACCCAGTGACTGTGACAACGAGTTCAAGCATGGGAATGATCATGAGGATGATGCAGGACCAGGTGGTGTTTCATTCTGTTGTACATAGGGGTTGCTATGAGTTGGAACTGCCTCGATGGCACCTAACAACATCTTTATAAGGAGCCCAGGAAGAAGGTCTGGTGGTGCTGTGGTTAAGGCATGGGGCTGCTAACCAGAATGTTGGTGGTTTAAACTCACCACCTGCTCCACAGGAGAAAGATGTCACAGTAGGCTTCTGTAAAGATTAAAGTGTTGGAAACCCAGTGGGGCAGTTCTGCTCTGTCCTACGGAGTTGCTATGAGTTGCAATCAACTTGATGACAATTTTTCTTTCTAAATAGGCTTTATGTTTAATTACTTTTCTTTTGCTAAGAATCATAAAAAATAACATTGCTTTATTCTAAGATAAAAAAAGGGAGAAATTTGCTTAATGTTGTTGTAAAGTAGGTATTAACTAGATGAATAGAAACTAAGGATAGACTAGAAACCGGACGGTTTTTCATTCTGTTGTACGTAGGGTCACTAGAAGTTGAAGCCGACTCAATGGCATCTAACAGCAACAACAAGAAAAGTTGCCAAATGTCAAAGAAAGCTTTTGGATTGATGTGGCATGTTGAACATAAACATCTCATTTCCTCTTGACACCCTACTAAAAATGCAATAGAAGAGTTTTGTAAAATAAGTAAGTCTACAGGATGAAGAGAATAGGAGAGGAGAAAATAGCAATAAAATTTTGACTCTAGGAAGGAGATATGTTAAATTATATTAATTTAACTGTTTTGGGAAAGGTGAATCATAAGCTTTGTGTATTAAAAGCTAAGAACCAACTTCTTTAACAATAGAAAATCTTCAGAGTTTTAGGTACTGACAGCCTCGACTGTCTCTGAAACTGAGGGTTAGGAGTTGTGTGTACTAAAAGCAAAGACCATCCAGGAAAACTGTTTGGGAAGCAAGCAGTTTATTATGTAGATACTCACCCCTGCTTCAGGCTATTTAAATACTATCCTACCCTCCTGCAGAATTCCAGGGAGGTTTAATACAGAGAGTCATTGGTCTTAGAAGGGAGCTCTGGTGGTGTAGTGCCTAAGGCATTTGGCAGTCTACTTCCATGGTGATACCTCCTTGGAAACCCAAGGAAGGTTCGCTAGGAGTCGAATGGATTCCACAGTAGTGAGTTGTTTTTTTGTTTTTTTTTAGTCTTAGAAAAATAAGGGAAGGCTGTAAAGTGAATGCACCACTACATCCTGCTTCCCCTTGTTGCCTCCTAAAATCCAGGCACCCAGACCAGTATCTTGCAGGCAGGAGATTGGAAGGTACTTCAGAACCTCACCTAGATCACTATACAGTAAATGTGAAAGTTGTTAAGATTCGTCCACTGCACTTTGAGTTTTTAAACTCTTGTCTCCTTCATCTTTCCCTTCCCAGCTCTGAGCTCCTCTTCTACAGTTCTCCGTTCACTGGTTTATTGTTGTTCCTTGAATGTATCAAGCTTAATCTTGGTTCCAGGGACTTTGCATTTGTTCTTCCCTCTGCCTTCAACAGTCTTCTGCCTGATACCTAGTTTGCTCTCTGACTCGAGTGTGCTTTTTTCCAAATAGAACATCCTCAAAAAGGCCTTCCACAACTACCCTACTAAAATACACTTCATTTCCTATCTCCTTTTACATTATATTATGTATTTGCATGTTTATTTTCTAACTCTTGTATTAGAATATAAGCTCCATGAAGGCTGAAACTTTGTGTTGTTCATCACACAATACCAGGTCTGCTATGGATGTCGATGTGTTTTGTGAAATATATATGAAAATTTAGTCTATTGACCTAAAGAACCCAACTCAAAGAACATAAAAGAAATTGATATTTTGTTAATGCTACCGTATCATTTTACGCACTAATTTGAGACACATACATTTCTTCTTGAAATAGTCAAGAAAGTTCATCAAAAATTTCTAATTAAGAAATTTTATTTCCCAAACTTTTTTATTTTTAGCTGTTGTTGTTGTTGTTATGTGCCGTCGAGTCAAACCCGACTCATAGCGACCCCTCCTTGGGTTTCCGAGGCAGTATCACTACGGAAGTAGGATTGCCCAACCTTCCTTCCGAGGTATTTTTAGCTATATCAGTATTATCATATTGATGCCATGATATGATAAAGCTAAAAATTAAAGATGTTTGAGAATAAACATTTTGGTGGCATAGTGCCTAAGGCATTTGACTGCTAACCAGAAGTTGGTGGTTCAAACCCACCAGCCACTCTGTGGAAGGAAGACTGGGCATTCTACTTCCGTAAAGATTCACCACCTCAGAAACCCTAACAGGGTTGCTATGAGTCAGAATTGATTCGACGGCAGTGGGTTTGGTGGGTTTTGTTTTTTTTAGTTTATATTATAAATATTTGGGACTTTTTGAATAATTCATATTCAAAGGAAATGTACATATATCAAATTACTGAGTAAAGGCTAGTTAATATCGGAGAAAGGTAGTTTATGCATTGTCATTATTTACACTTTGTTTGCCTTTTACTTAAGTGAATACTCCTCTGATTCAAAAAGTCCTTGGATCTTTAGGCATAAAAATTTAACTTTTCATTTATTGCCTACTACTATCTTCTCACAGCAGCCACTCCTCGGAAGGAAGGTTGGGCAATCCTACTTCCATAGTGATACTGCCTCGGAAACCCAAGGAGGGGTCGCTAGGAGTCGGGGCCGACTCGACGGCACATAACAACAACAATCTTCTCATACTAGGATTCTTTAAAAATTTTATAAATGAATGTTTAATTTGCTATAAAAAGTTAAAATAGTGTAAGTTATGGGAATGAACAGTTCTATCATTAATTATAATTTAGCTTATAATATCTTGGTGTGTTGCACCTTATTTGGTTTAATTTTGGGGGGAGGTTGTTTCCCATTGAAATACTAACTAACTAATATTAGTGGCTATCACATAATGGTGGCTATAAGATAATCCTTGCAAGTTAAAAAGAGAAGTAAATAAATAAGTCCTTTGACGTGAACAATCACAGCATTCTCTTATATTCTTTCCCAGTTTTATCCACTTACTTGGGTAAAAGACAGAGTTAATACAGGAATGGTAACAGTGCCTAACACAAAGTAGTCATTCATATGTAAATTAAATGAGTGGATGCATAGATTGAATAACTGGAACTTTTAGATCATCTGTGAACAGTTCAGAATTTGAAAATTATAGCTGACCTTTGGTAAAGAGTTTTTTTCTTTTTTTAAAATTGCTGTAAGAATTTGTGTTCTTTAGCTAAATAAGGAAAAGTTTTAGTAGCTTAATGAGCATATAGAGAACTACAATAAGAGAGGCATGACTGATATTTCTGATTTCTGCTAGGATAAATCATGGGGAAATGGGATTTCATTGCCGCTGAGGAAACAGTATATTATTTACTGCACATAGCACTTCCCTACTGTTCCTACAAGTATTCTGTTACAAGTTATAGAGGGAAAAAAGTATTTACAAAGAAATAGTGTGTTCTTTTCCTTCCTTTCTTTAAATATAAGCTAAGGAACTACTTCTTGGTGCCACCTGATACCATGCTACATGTTACCATTAAGACTGACTATAGTTTTTCTGAGATATAGAGAGGTACGTGGGAAGTACAGACAACAAAGATGAACCCTTTTGCACATACAGTACGGCTTGCTTAGTGAAGGCAAACACGGGTATATGGGTGGGTAGATGGGTGGACAGGCTGAAATATTAGGTATCTATATGAAGTGGAGAGTGCACCCAGAAGCTGTATAGGGTTGGCAGACAGTGGTCCAATAACTTTATGTGTATGATCTGAATTCCCAAGTGTATAATGGGGCTGACAAGGGGCGAGGTTGTAGTCACTGCTTGGTCACAGCCAGCTACCCAGAGGGACTGAGTAGTTGAACCTGTGGGCTCGGGACCATAGTGGCAGAGGACATCAAGCTCATTTGGCATAACATACTACACAAATCATTGTTCTACCTTCTACTGTGGCGAGTAGCGACTGAGATCTTAAAAGCTTGCAAGCTGCCATCTAGATGCAACGATGGGTCTCTCCTCATCCAGAGCCAAGAAGAATGAAGAAAACCAAAAATTCATGGAAACAATCAGTCCTAGTGACTGGTACACCATCTGATCTGCAGCCTATGCAACTATGAGACCAGAAGAAATAGATGGTGCTCGGCTACTACTGTCAACCACTTGGAAAAGGATCTTTGTAGGAGATCCTAGACAGGGGTAACAATGTGGAACAAAACTCAAAATCATTTGGAAAAAAAAAAGTGGGGACCAGGTTTGCTGGCCCGATGGAGCCTGGTGGAACCACTGAGACTATGGCCCTTCAGGTCTGGAATTGAACGCACATCTGTGGCTTCCAGCCAAGCAATAGACAGGCATACTAGTTGAGCATTTACCTGAGGTAGATACACTCCTTGGAGAGAACAAGCAAGAGAGAAAGAAGGGCTGCTCAGGCACAGGGAGATGGCTCGGGTAGGAGTGCATGGAGGGATGGTCACAGGGAAGCAGTAGCTATTGGGAGGAAGTAGGAGAGGAGATGTTGCATTGTGCTAAATAGTGGTCAATGTCATGAGACAGTGTATGTGATCTGCTGTATGGAAAGTGTATTTGCTCTGTAAATTTTCACTCAAATCACACACACACAAAAAAGACTGACAATAGTTTTTCTCGACTGGTCTACTTTTTATTTCTCATTTCACTAAAATAAGGATAAATAAGTGAACTAAGGTTTATTGCATTATCTAAATCATGTCTTTGAAAATATCTTATATTCTGTATATTGTTTTTTTCTTATGTATATTCTTTTGTATGCATTTTTTAACTGATTTTACATTTTTTATGTAGGTCACTTTTGAAATGCACAAAGAAAACCTTGCCAATATATTTAGGGAACACCAAGGAAAAGCTGGTGAAGAGAGAGGGCCATGCTCTTCAAGTCCAGTCCAAGCAGCCCCCGACACTAGCCTCAATGTTAATACTTCAGAAGGATCCCAGCAACCAGATAGAAAGGATTCTCTTGCCTCATTGAATATCATCAGAAATGATGATGAAAAATTAAGTATTGAGGAAGCATATTCAGTAGACTGTCCATCCAACATTGAACCACAAACTTGTAACACATCTAATGACGACAGAAAAACTGGGCAGGAAAATCAGGATGTACTGGATGAAGTCACCTTAGAAGAAACACTGACAAATGAGACAATAAAGGCAGATGATTTAGAAGTATCTTCTGAGTTAATAGAAGCTGTGACTGTTTCCTCTGATTCTTTAAAAACACCTGGCAAAGGTATAATGACCATTAGTGAAGTAACTGCCTCCTTAAGTTCTCCTTCAGAAGAGGATGCTTCAGAGGTGCCAGAATTACTGGATAAACCTATAGTAGAGGAAGAAGAAGATGATGATTATGTGGAATTGAAGGTGGAAAGTAGTCCTCTTGAGGACTCCAGTCTACCTACTGAGCTCCAAAATAATAGCTTGTCTGTAGCTGCGTCAGAAGCCAGCAAGAGACTGGAATTGCCCAGTAATGACTCCAAATTAGTAATTCCAGAAGAAGAACCTGTTAATGAAAAGCAAACTGATACCAAAACTCAAGATTTTAAAGCTTCTGACATCTTGACTGCGACAGCATCAGGATCATCAACTCCCTTACCAGAAATACCTTCCCAAACAACTGTACAATCAGACATTGGTCAGATGCTGAAGGAAGAAAAGAAAACAACTGACCTTGCTAGAGAAACCAAATTAATTAATGGTTGTCATGATAATAGTTTAGAGTCTTCTGCTACTTCTGAGCAGAGGATCGCCAAATTGGATGTTTCCAGCATTGCTACAGATACTGAGAAACTGGAATTGAAGTCCAGTACAAACACGGAAGCATCTCAGTCTCATCGACCTGCACTTGAGGTAATTTTTTGTATTGCTTTCTTTATGTGGGTTTGCATTGAGTTAAAATCCTGCAAGTGTACATGTATGTGTGTGTGCGCACTTTAATTTTATTTTGCAGTTGGTTCATACACTATTTGCAGTTATATAAATGCAATGAATGTAATGATTGAATTTCATGTGTACAGCACAAGGTTTGACTTTTTCTATCAGTTTATTAAATGGAAGCTTCTTTACTTTTTTTTTTTTTCTTTTGCCACACCACAACCATAAATTACCATGTTAAAGTTTTAGGGTAGGTATAATTTTCACTTATAAAAGACAAATTGTAAATACTTTCTTTTTACTCTTTTATTTGACAGCCCAGTAATAATTAGCACAATAGTTTTTCAGCAAAATCTAGGACTACTTTCTGTTAAGCCACATGCCATTTTATAAGTTTGTTTACAGAGTGTGGGTTAAAATTGTTCCATGAGATTGGTATACTTTCTAAGAGGCAGGTGACTTCGTGAGATGTAGAGGCATAGTCCTTTCCTCTACCAGTAGCTCAGCGTAACTGAGGAGAACAATGATTGGTTGCATGTTGTCATTGTCGACTTTATCCAACTGTTACCATTGCTCCTTTCTTCCATTTTTTGTTTGTTTTTCATTGTATTTTCTTTGTTCTATATTTTAGCAAGTTTATAATCTAGATACTGTTTTTCTTTTATGCTAATATTCAAGACTGATAACTTCTTCATTGCTACTTCTTGATATTTGATACTACATTGGCTGGTGGTAATACTGACAAGCTAATTACTGTTGAATTGTGGTAGTTTAGCATTGATAATTTTGCTTTAAATGTGTGTTAAAATGTTAATGTTACTACTATTCAATGATGATTTTCTTTCTCTAATTCTTTAGTATCATAAAACGTGTGTTAGCTCACTGAATTTTTTTATTTTGCTAATGCTTTCATTTGAAGTTGAACTTATTAGTATTTAAAATTTTCTGTATTAGATGTCAAGACAACAGGAGCAGCCAGGGCAAGGTGTAGCCTCAGAGGCAGCTAATGGGCAAAGGAGGGATTCCAGATCGACCATGTTTCGGATTCCTGAGTTCAAGTGGTCTCAGATGCATCAACGTTTGCTCACTGATCTATTATTTTCAATAGAAACAGATATACAAATGTGGAGAAGGTTTGTCCATATGTTTGTTATAGACAATGTATATAAACCTTAGTCTTTGTTTCCAAAGAAATTTATATAGTTAACACTTTACTCTTAATTTTAGACATTTGATTAAAAAGTAGGCTGTAAGTGATTTCTGGGGTAGAGTTTAATTGAATTAACTTTCATTCTCCATTATAAGAAACCCTGTCTGAATTACAAAAGTTGAGACCCAGAAATTTTTCATTAAAAAAATTAGTTGAAGATTTTCTATAGCTTATTTTATAGCATGAAATTTACCATAGGGTGACTCTACCAAGTGAGTTTGTTACTAGAAATAGTAAAAAATAATTGAGATTTATATATAACACTATACAAGAGTCCAATGCATAAAATGTATTTTTCAGAATTATCCTCCATTGTGTAATTTATGATTTTATAAGTGCTTGATTTATTTATGTACTATTCTTATTCTATTTAAAAGCATTTTATGGCATTTCCTAAGAAAATGTTAGGAATTTTAAATAGCACATTTGGCTCCAGTTGCCTTTTAATTTTTGCCACATGGCTTCTCAGTTTTGTTCCTAGGTGAGGCTAATTTACTTCAACTTTTTATATGAGGTGTAAGATGAGTAGAGTTTATGTCTTAGCACTGAAGGGGGAAGGGCATGATAGTAACTAGTGTTATGGTGTACTTCTGAGGAAGTATGCACCCCAAAATGTCTGTTGTATCATTGTCTTTCCTCAGCTTTCAAGATGAAGCAAAAGCACCTTCTTATCTTCGTTACCCTCACATATGCAAACTGTGATTTCCCTTCTTTAGCTTTATCAGTAACCATCATTTATCTCTGGACAGCCATTCAACAAAGACAGTTATGGACTTCGTGAATAGCAGTGATAATGTCATCTTTGTACACAACACAATTCATCTCATCTCTCAAGTGATGGACAATATGGTCATGGCTTGTGGGGGTATACTGCCATTGCTTTCAGCTGCTACATCGGCTACAGTAAGGATTTAACTACTATGTAAAGCTAGTATGTAAACATGAGTGTTATGCATCCTTATTGATTAAAGTTGGATGTGGTGGTTACTGTATATCGTAGGGGCTGTAAATCAAAAGCAACAGAATTTTTTACAATTGCCTGTGAAAGGATCTTAGAATCTGTTCTAGGAGTGAAAGGGCTGAAAAAAATGTTGGTTTCTGAAAGATGAGTCAGCTAGTGAAGAATATGATTGATGATGTTTCAGCTGGATGTTTGCAATGCCTTTAAAAAAAAGACAAAATGACAAGTAAATGACTGCTGAATTAGACTTTTGAAAGTTTTGCTTTTTATAAAATTTAGAAATTTAGGGAAAGTATCAGATAAAATGAAATTTAATTAGAATATAGATGTAAATGTCAAACTTTATTTCTTTCAGCATGAGCTGGAGAACATTGAGCCTACTCAAGGCCTTTCGATAGAAGCCTCGGTAGCATTTTTGCAGAGGTTAATCAGTCTTGTGGATGTGCTCATCTTTGCAAGTTCTCTTGGCTTTACTGAAATTGAAGCTGAAAAAAATATGTCATCTGGAGGAATTTTGCGGCAGTGTCTGCGATTAGGTAAGTTTTTAAACTTATTAGGACTTTATTTTAAAATTTATCTGTAATCAAGATAGACTAAGTTGAAAATTATCTTTGCGCCTGTTGATGGGAAAAAAGTTTGCTAGGAAATTTGCATATGGCTACTTTTAACCTCCAGGGAGTGAAGGACTTTGTGCTACTCTGTAGGTTTGAGGAGGAAGGACCGAGTTTTGAAAAAGCTACTGAGCTGATCTAGTGGTAGCATAGTGGCTAAGACACTTGCCTGCTAACCAGACGGCTGGCGGTTCAAACCCACCAGCCACTCCTCGGAAGGAAGGTTGGGCAATCCTACTTCCGTAGTGATACTGCCTTGGAAACCCAAGGAGGGGTCGCTATGAGTCAGGTTTGACTTGACGGCACATAACAACAACAACAACAACAACAACTGAGCTCATCTGGTCAGTATCTTTCCTCTTTCCCGTTGCTATTCTAACTATCAGGTACATGTGAATCACTTGAAGATCTTATTAAAATGTAGATTTGATTTTATAGGTCTTGGGTAGAGCTTCAAATTCTGTGCTCTCAACAAGTCCCAGGAGATATCTCCAAACACACTTGAGTAGCAAGATTCTAAACTAGCTCATTTGCTGTGTTAATTTGTTAGAGCAGTTAATAAAATTGTTAAGACTTTGTTTTTCTATTAGAAGCAGTGCTTTCTCAGGCAAAAGTAAAAATACATGAAATGACTTCTTAGTATTAACTGAATTTCATTGGGAGAAAGAAAGTTTTATTCTCTTTACATGAGATTTTCTGAATCTAGTTGTAAATACTGAGATTTTGTTAACTGATTTGCTTACTACATGGAGAGAAGGACGGTACCAAGGAGTTGGAACCTAAACGATCAGCTACCATGGCCATGTGTAAACAGATGACAAATAAGACACCTATGAAAACATCAGAAGTAGAAAATCTAGTTAATAAAATCTTTTTCCATATTATAGTTTAGAGTAACTGTTACATAAACTGAGATGTACTTGTACTTGGACCTTCTTGGTGAAATTTCTGTTTTTACTCAAAATTCCATTTAGAGTACGTTTAGACATAGGATGCTTCAAAGAATTTGGCTTAATAGTCTATGTTGTTGTTGTTAAGTGCCGTCGAGTCGTTTCCGACTCATAGCGACCCCATGCACAGCAGAACGAAACACTGCCCAATCCTGCACCAGCCCCACAATCCCTGCTATACTTGAGCCCATCCTTGCAGCCACCGTGTCAATCCATCTCGTTAAAGGCCTCCCCCTCTTTCGTTGTATAATAGTCTATAGAAAGTTACTTTTGAATTTTTAAGAGAGAAATCGGTAAGTGTAACAAAACAAAAATGATCATTTGTTGACTACTGTAATTTATCTTTATTGCTAATCTTCACAATGAATCAGCTATTATTTTTTTCCTTTTATTTATGAGGGAATTGGAGCCCAGAGAAATTAAGAAACTTGTCCAATATTTGAAAGCTACATTGGGTGAAGTTGGAATATGAATAGTTTTGTCTAACTAGTATTCCTCCTCTTTATGTTAAAGCATACTTCTTTAGATGTTTTATTTGTTATACAATTAAAATATTTAGTCTCTATTGCTTTTGTGTATACTAATTTTAAACAGTTCTACCTTCCTAAAAAGAGTACATTTCTAGAATTAAAAGCACAGAGTTACACTATATATTCAAGGGCCATTAGATTTAGAAGTTAGGGAAATACTCATATCTTCTCATTTTGTAGCTGTAGAAGAGAAGAAAGTGCCAATTCAGTCTATCCCAGCACACTTGTTTTTAGATACGGAAATGAGACTCAGAAGATGAATTGCCCAAGATCACTGTATAGATTGTGGTACCAAACCTGTTGCTGTTGAGTCGATTCTGACTCATGGTGATCCCATGTGTTACAGAGTAGAATTGCTTCATAATGTTTTCTTGGCTGTAATCTTTATGGAAGCTTTTGGCCAGGCCCTTCTTCCGCAGAAGTGCTGAATGGGTTTGAATGGCCAGTGTTTAGGTTAGCAGCTGATTGTAAACCAGGCTCCTAGCTGGAGGATGGTAAGCTCGGTAAAAAAACCTCCACGTTTTGGTTCCTGATCTCTTCACTGTCATCCGTTCTTGGGGTATGGGTGAGTAGCAGGGAATGGCAGAGTAATAGTGTCTGGTACTACTAAGCCTGATTGATACTAGGAAATCTGATGTGATTTTTACTTTCTGATGCAGATCCTAATTTTATTTTATGTAATCTGTGACAAAGATAGTGATAAAAACTTATTTTGTGGGCAGGATTTCAAACCTGACAATTTATATTCTCTATTCTTCCCCTCTCTCCTTCTCTTCTTCTGATTTTTATTATACTGTTTTGGTACTTTTCTGGTTGTTTCCTTAATTCTTCTTTTTTTTAGCCATGTAATAGTCTGGTGGTATTTAAAATCCCCACTTTATGTAACTTTTCTATTTTGTTCCTGATTTTCTGTCTCATCCTTGTTCAGTTCAGAATTCTTGAGTACTACCAAGTTGATTGGAAATTTATATGATTGCTTGATAAGAAGTAATTTACGGTTAAACGTGAGTGACCAATTAGCCATTTAAATATGAAAACTGATTCATAATTATTTTCTAAATAATCAGGCATTTGCCTGATAGGTGGAGCTTTAGAGAGATCATTTTGGACAACATATTAATAAATTCTTTGTCTATCTCCTATCTTCTAAATATTTTTTAATGAAAACCAGTAATAGCTAAATCCTGTAATTGCCATATTACCTGTTGATCTCTGTAATACTACACTCTTATGATACACTGCAAGAAAAACAGGGAATTTGCTAGTTTTACTTTAATGAGATTAGTAGAAGATTTTCCCCCTAGACCAGTTTGTGTCAATCTGATAATGCTATTTCGTCTACCTTTCTTTCAATTGTTTTCTTCTCTATCTTTTTCATACTGGAAGATCTTTTTTATCTAGCCTAGGTGAGGCCTAGATAAAAAAGATCTTCCAGTATGAAAAAGATCTGGCTTAGGAGCTCTGGTAGCATAGTGGCTAAAGCACTTGACTGCTAACCAGAAGGCTGGTGGTTCAAACCCATCAGCCACTCCTCGGAAGGAAGGTTGGGC